CGATCTCGACAGAGAGACGAAGGGATTGTGGCAGCGTCGGGACTCCGGTAAGTGAAGAAATTAGGGTTTGGGTTTGGGTTTGGGTTTTGGGTTTTTCTTTTTTGTTCGCAAATCCCAGCCTTGTCTGGAACGAGTCGGGGGCGTGTCGAGGCGTTGACGCGTGTCGGGGGTGTTGACCGCGTGTCCGACGCGTGTCAAACGCATGTCCGCGTCCGACACGCGTCGGACACGGACTCAGGGTCAAGTTTCGCGTGTCGGTGCTTCATAGTCAAAATCTACTAACTTTTAGCCATGTCAGCATCCATTGCTGAAAGTTGGTCGATTTTGACAAAAACACAATTTTTGTAATATATTGGATTGTCAATCCCGTGTAATCAGCAAAGTTTACTAATTATACAGGATTGGGAATCCCGTATATAATTCTAGTTTCAAATTTAACATATTTGTAATAATTGGCTAAGTGGTTTGCTCTAATAGAGTTAGGCTTAGATGAACTGTTTGGGCTTCAGTCCGAATCCTATCATTGCCAATTTTTTTTTCTATTTATCTGTTAATAAATTTAAACTGCCATAAGTAAATGGCTGTTTTTCATAAGTGAAAAAGGGGAAAGAAGTTTACTTGGGAAAAGTAAGATTCCAACCCATGCCCTTTCAAACCATAATCTAAAACCTAACTCTAGATCTTTTAACCACTTAGCCAACTTACAATATGGTAAGAGGTTTCAACATAAACTATATACGGAATTATGAATCCTATATAATTAGTGAATGCGAAGTGATTATATAGTCCACTAATTACACGGGATTCCAATCCCTTCGACTCTCGAAATTAGTTTTTGTTTTTCAAAATCGACCAACTTTTAGCGCTCTATGTTGACATGGTTGAAAGTAGGTTGATTTTGATAAATAACTTTGAACTATGTCGATTTTGATAATTAAATTGTGATCTGGTCTACTTCGAAAATTTCTCCTCATCATAATTGCAAATTACTCCCTGAATTTTCAAATTTGATACTGTGACCCTCAACAGTTAAGAAATATACCTAGGATACTTTTTTTTATTCTTTAAATTATGACATAAAATTAAAAATGACCCAAAATACCCCAAGGTTTTGAACATGTCTATCATTTTTTATTGAGAGAAGAGCTCCTGTGGTCATCTTCCCTCTCTTCTAAAGCTCCAAGAACAACATCATCAACAAACTGGTGATGACTTTCATTACACAACATCTGTTGTAAACGTGGTCATGGGTATCCATGACTTACACAACACACTGCATGCCCCACTAATAACTGCATGCTCCACTAATAACTGTAATGAATGTTCAATCGCCTTAAAAAATGTTGACAAGGAAGAAAGTACGCATATGTGAATCATTGCTAGGGAGAGTTTTAAGGAATTGAGGGGATCCTATCATTGTTAATCAAGATGGAAAAATATCAGCGTTCTTAACAAAGGGCTTCGATCCATAAGTAAAAAGCTCTCGTATGTGTCGCCTTTTGACGCCAATCCGGATCCGATCGAAAAGTATGAGGTTCTCGATATTGTGAATTTTAGAGGGTACTCGAATCTAATCGGGATCTAAAAGGAGGAGCATGTAGATCATTAAGTCTTTGATATCTTTCCAGAGACATTTTGTAAGGCCTTGCAGCAAGAGATCATAATTCATTGAGGATCGATCAGAGGAGATTTGGTGCTAGCGATACTCAATTTGATCACAAGAGCTCATCGTGGCTTCTTGAAGCTTGTGCATGATCAGATCTAGTAAATGAAGAGACGTGAGGAATCAGTAGGTTGTGGCGGAGGTGATGAACAATTCCCCTTTTTTGGATTCCTTCGTTGTTTTTGCCTGACGACAGATTCTTTTTTTGACGAGAGGATTTGTTTGAAGGTTAGGAATAAATGAGAGAGTTTTAGATAAATAAATAGTCTTCACATCTAGAAGGCATACACCCTAAAGAGGCAAATCATATACCAAGAACACCTCACATGCTCAAGAGTAAATTCTCATAACTCAATATTTTTATTAATCAATGGTATATACCTCATAGAGGATTACGCCTCTTATTTATAGGAAAAAACATCTCAACGGTTAAGGAAGCAAATTAAAATCCTAATTAAATCTAATTAAAAGTTGCAATCAAATAAAATCGTGACTAAACGAGAAACAGATCTCAAAATCAAATACTAAAAAATTCCCAACTTAAAAAAAAGAAGATCACATAGAATAAAATCAAATCCGACCAAAAAGTTAAGATCCTAATAAATACTAATTTCATCAAATTGACAGTTCATGATCATCCTGCATCACAAACACTATATCCCATCTCCTTCCCGGCTTCTTCCACCTCTAATGTCATCTCCACTGCCCTCTCCCAGACCCTTAGTTGCTATGTCATTCTCTTGGAAGCTGTGAATGCGAAGAAACAACCGAAAGCTCGACGGATGGGGGTTTATATGAGGAGGAAGAATGCAAGGAAGGTGGTGAGGGACTCGGTGGTGGTGCCCAGAGGGATTATGGTTGTTTGCGAAGTGGTCATTGAGAAAAAGAGAAAAATGAAGGGGTAATGGGTATTTGGAAGAAGAGGAGGGTTATTATCGTTAATTGACCCTTCCACCGTTATCTAGAACCTCTGCTATATTTGGAAGGTATAGAAGCTGAAAGGTGAAGATTTGAGGGGTATATTTGCAATTATGAAGATATGGGTGTAAATATGCAGTTATTGTTGATTTGCGGGTTACATAGGCAAACAACTCTTTAATTAGAGTATCGTAATGGCTGAGGATAAGATAAATAATATTAGAAAAGATACATGGCATTTGTTTATATTTAAACTTATAGGATCTAGTTTTAAATTTATTTGCTTTGTTATCGAGATCAACACCTAGCACAGCTGGTTAAGCACAAGCCTCTTCACTTGAGGTTGGAGGCTTGAGCTCCACTGTGGGTGGTTTTATTTTGTGTTTCTTCCTTTTTTTCCACTGTAGTGGAGATGTGTTGTTTGCTAATTCTTTGGTTGATTATTTACTGCTGTAATCAAATAATTATTTGGTTCATTTTGGTATTTCACTCTGACTATTAATATTTCACTCTAAACTCATGCTTAAACCAAAATCTATTTCTAATAGATTTGTTGTATCGATATTTGTAGTCTTAACATACATCTCAAGCCACCATTGGAGGTTGAAGAGAGTTTGTAATAACTTAAATTTATAGGATAAAAATGTAAAACATAAACGAATGGTTATAATCAAACAAATTGAATAAACACCTGGTTAAATTCTATTCGTTTATGAACGAAACACAAATATATTCATTGGTTGTTTAATGAACTATTGAATTGAGTATAATCTATGTTACCCAGGTACTTCTATAATGAAACCGTACCCGTACCAGACACGTACCCGACACTTTCTCGTACCCAAACTTCATGGACACTTCTTGAATATATGCATGCATTTATTAAAACATGTACTCAATTATACGATATATGTGTTAATGTATAACACTTGTCAAAGACTTACTAGACGTAGAGCTTACACTTCACTTTCATCTTTTGAAACTAATGGGATACGCGTCAGATTCATTTCAGTCCATACCCAAGTTTAAAACTATATAGTTAATGGGTTGTTTAGATGTCTAGTAAAAAAATGAGTAGTTTACAATTCACGATAATCAATATGATAAAAGAAACTCAAAAATATGATCGGAATTTTAATTCTAATGACACATGAAGGGGAAAAAATTATCTTATGTACAATATTAATTCAATATATATGTAGTCGTGTCCCCGTACCCTACATTTTACAGTTTTGTCGTGTCCCGTACCCGCACCCGTACCAGTACCCGTGCCCGTTTCCATGCAACTTAGAGTATAATCGAATGCTTACACGAATAGTTAACAAACTAATTGTTGATTATTTGGTTCATCTCCATCCTTTGTCAGGCTCCTATACGGATATCAAAGATCCGTCCACACACTTTGTTGTTGCGGGTATAATAAATGTTTAATGTAATTATGATCAGTGTTTTAAATATCGGCGATATATCGGGTATTATCGGCGATATATCGGATTTTCCAGCTTGCCGATAGGATAACATCAATTTGTAGTCGGTTATCGTTTTGAACAAATTATCGGCGATAAATCGCCGATAACGGAGAATATCGCCCGATAAGGTGCATTTTTTTATCGGGTTTATCGGCTGTGGTTTGAGTTAGGATGTTGAGAATTGATACCCGACCCGACCTGTTTTCACAATAAAATGCAAACTCAAGAGTCAAAACCCCTTCGTGAATCCAGTCACTTCAAGCCCTAAATCTTCATCGCCTCTTCGTCGCCTTTTCTCCAGCAAATCTTCATTGCCTCTTCATCGCGACGAAGCTCTTCGTCGCCTCTTCCGCTCTTCGCCGACTCTTCGTCAACGAATCTCCAACAAATCTCCAGCCTCGAGTTCGTGAATTTCTTCGTCGCCTCGACTTCGTGAATCTGCAGCGAACCTCGTCGTCGAACTCCCGCTAACCTCGTCGTCGAACTCCAGCAAACCTCGCCGTCAAAATCTCATCATCGAACTCCAGTGAACCTCGCCGTCGAACTCCAGCAAACCTCGCCGTTGAAACCTCGTCGTCGAACTCCAGCGAACCTCGCCGTCGAACTCCAGTAGGATTGAGGTATCATCTCTTCTTCATTTCTTCTCTTCTCTCCTTCGTATTTTGGTTTTATTTTATTTTATGGCTGATGTTTATATTTTCCCTTAAGTTGATTGGGTATTGTTCTTTAAACAGATATTATTACCCGTGACTGTGAGTCTGCAACTTCTGAGACTTGTATTACTGACTATTAGACTATTATGTTGTGAGACTTGTATAAGAAATTTCTATTGTGAGACTTGTATAAGAAATTTGTTAAAGTTAACTGTAACTAATTTTTTTTTAACTGCAACTAGTTTATAGAGACTTGTTGTGACTTGTGATACTGTATTACTAATTTGAGTTAGGTTGCCGTTCTCAATATAAGTTTTTTAACAGCAATTAATTTTTAATCAATATAAGTTTTTTCACTGCAATTAGTTTATAGAAAATTTGTAATTAATTTTAAGAAAATACTTGTGTGTATAAGCAAATTGAATTGTAATTACAATTAAATTTGAGCAATTAGTTTTAACTGCAACTAAATTTTCAATGCAACTACTTTAGCTAATTATAAGTTTTACAACTTGAATCTGCAGATAGTTTACAATTGCTATTTTAATTTGTCTTCTTCTGTTCCTCACTTCATTCCTTGAAATCTTGATGTGATTTTGATCTCAAGTCTGCAACAAAATAGAACTGACTGATGTTAGGTATAAAATTTTATAACGTGCAAAATAAATAAAATAAATATACAATTGTGTTTACTATTTTATTTTCAAACTTGTGTTCATGGTTCACTATCACGTTAGTGATTCTAAACATGATAATTTCCATTTTGGTATGTTTATATTTCATTAAGCATGGTTAGATTTACATTTTTAGTTATTATATTATATATATATACCATCTACTTATCACTCCGATAATTACTACTTATCCCCGATATATCCCCGATTTCCGCTATCCGATAAGGATTTTGACCGTCCGATAAATCCCCGATAACCGATATTTAAAACCTTGATTATGATTATACCTTGTTGGGTTAGGATTCTTGAGTTCTTTAATATTTTGAAATATAGTTATTACTCAAACTGACGTTGCCGTGAAATATGAGGAGTTGCCCTCCTAAGGTTGATTATATGGCAAGAACGATCGATATGGATACTAGTCCGTTGCTCGTAGGGGGACCTGGAAATATGCCATGGGTTAATCCTAAGACTATTAATCATATCTTATTAGCCAATCTTGATCCAGTATTCATTGGATGTCACAAATTTTATCATGCTCTCCATGTTGAGAAACCAAGTCTTACTATATATCAAGAAAAAACAAGGGGTAGGGAAAAATTGGAGGATCGGAGGAAAACTTCTTCAATTACTTAGAAGTAGAAGGGTATAATTAAAATTTCACACCAAACACTTATTATATCCGTAGGACAGTGTGTGCATGATGGGCTATTATTTTTTATAAGAGTCTGATGATACCTGTCTCTTCCATATATCGAAGTGGTTCAGTTGATATTTGTATGGTACATGTCTTTTCTATTCTTTATGATACTTCTTGATAACAAGTGCAACAACGACCATCTAATATGCTGGTTTAGGAGGAGGATAGGATCACGGTTGGAGAAATGAATAGGACTTGAAGACTTGCCTGCCAAAATATCCACGGATTGAGGCATTTAAGGTGGATATGATAGTTGCTAATTCAGTTAAAAGACTTGGGCCTTGCAACTGTAACTAAATCAGATTCATGTAGCCAACCCCAAAAAGATGGGAGATAGAAAGGCTTCATTATTCTTGTGTTTTTCTTGGTTTGAAACAAAATGTCGACGTTACTTCAGTGCAGAGTCCAGTTGATAGGTATACCTCTTGGCAGTTTGTTCTTAGATCTTTCAAATGTAATGCTCTTGTTTTTGCATAAGGTGCTGATGACTAATTTAAAGGAGATTTTACTTTTCCTATGTCACTTAAGTAACAACCATTTATGTCATCCATCAAAAGTTCTTCGAGTCTCTAGCATTGCTTGCACACTATCACTGTGATCATCAGATAACTTCTTGTCAAGGCGGGTTATGTTAATCATCACATTATTTAATTTAGTTCTGGTTATAAGTTTTTCCATCCGGGCTGTTTTACCCATTTAAGTATTTGAGAACTAAATTACCTATTAGCTTCCTTATGTTGCCATCCATGTTTGATTTTGATTTTCGTACAACTGGAAAGAAAACTCCATAGCATTTATTGAGCACTTATTTTTCTTTCCGTCTTTATGATTTCAAATTTTTATTAGCCATCTGTGTGCACTGTTATCTTAGTTCGCTGTCATTATTAGAGATCTTTCTCCTTGGTGGACTAGTCTTCTGCTTTTATGTTTTATTTACTTATTGGCATCGTCAAAAGTATTCCCTCTCATTGTCTCACTCTGATTAAGAATTCCTATTATGAAAATAATCTATGGGCATTTCCCCAGATCTGCGGGATGATAAGCAATTTTTTATCGATCATCCTGGTGCCGTGCCCATCACGACTGCTCAGGTTAACAAATGGGTGTTATCTTCTTTTCTGAATCTTTACCATCTTACTTACTAAATCCCAGTTTACGTTAGGTGCTTGTTTGTAATAATTTTTTCATCCCGTAGGGAGAAGAGCTCATGAGGACAATTGGTGCGCCTTCCTACATTGAGTGCAGTTCAAAGACACAACAAGTAAGATAATCTTTCATTGGTCTCTCTGTGTGATAACCCAGAGCCTATATCGGTGTAAGCCTTCTGGATAACGCAGCTTACTTGGTACTATGCATTGAAAAAGATTTCATCAAAATATCCTTCTCTCTTTATTTCTCTAGTCTTTGCTGTCCATAACAGATCACCTCCTTCCTATATTTCTGACCATTTATTTAATTTTATCTCTATTTACACAGTAAAATGCGGGGCCGCATACGCTTTTTTCACCTTTTTACTGCTTACCCAATTAAGTTTCTAGGTATCTTTCTCTCATGTTAGCGTGGCTCATGATGTTACCACTTCAAATAGTTATAAAATATTATTTAATTTTGACTGCTTCTAATCAACCTCTTGGATTATTGAACTTTATTGGTAGGCAAGATGCATCAAGGTCCCTCTAACTTTGGTATGGTCCAAACATTGCTTTAATGATCTAATTTTAGTCATTGTTAGATTGTACTACTGGTCTACAAATTAACAATTTACGTAACTTGCGCAAGAAACTTCCAAAATCATATTAGTAAATATCTTATGGTAATATGAACCACTTATTTCAATAATCATATATCCAGATAGGACGGTCATTTTTATGGAGATTAAAAGAAAGCAATGCAGAACTTTCTCTTGCAAGTTAATTAAATTGTTAATATATTAGATTATTATGTGTTTAAAACAGTGATGAAAACTAGACCACTACCGTAGGTTACGTGACAATTTAGAGTTGATAGTGGCTTGTTGTAGGTTGCTGGTTTTTGTGTAATGCTGCATATAACAAACTGAAGAGTGTTCTTCTTACATATTTGGCTAGCTATAATGGATAATAAATTAAGAGCATAATAATTGAACTTTGGGGTGTATCACAAAAGACCCCTGAACTTTGAACTCTTCTCACTGGACCCTCTATCTATAATATGCATATTACTATCTGCAAGTTACTAAATTTTTTCCTTGACAGAAAAAACCCCCAAATTTAGTCATTTGCTATTTACTAGCAACGTACCCTCATCCCCCAATTAAGGGTTTTTCGCTCAATGAAATTTTAGTTAATTGCAAATTTTTTGCAGGAACAATTTGGATTGGTCGAGCAACATTTACTCTTCTTTTTATAATTCTGCCTCTTATTTATGAACTTTTAACTGCAGTAATAGTTCTTTTGGATTAAGTAGATAACTGTATGCACAAAACTATTTGTTATGTTATTTATTAAATTGTATGTTTTCTGATCCTGTGAATGTCATTGATGTAGTACTCAAGGATTTGCCTCATATGATGTATGTAACTCCGTAATATTTATCTCCCCACTTTTTACAGGAGGGCACTTAGGAGAACTAAGTTATTATACCATACAACCGATGCATAAAGTATGTATAGATTATAGCATATGATGAAAAATGATTTATACATCTTGGATCAGTTTTGACTTTTGTACAGTCTCCTTGCCTTCTAGTTTCTTTGTGCTTTATAACCGTCTTTTTCCAGGTGAATGTCATTGATGTGTTACTTAAGGATTTGCCTCATCTGATATATGTAACTCCATGATATTTATCTCCCTATTTTTTCCGAGAGGGCATTAAGGAGAACTAAGTTATTACACCATACAACCGATGCATAATGTATGTATATATTATAGCATATGATGAAAAATGATTTATACATCTTGTTGGATCGGTTTGAGTTGTTTTACGGTCTCTTGCCTTCTAGTTTCTTTGTGCCTTATGACCATCTTTTTCCAGCCAAGTTCACTACTATACTTGATAATTGTGCTCTGATCCCTGATCATAGCCCTTGCTTGAGCTGTGATTGACATTTTCATTTTTTGTAAAATGTTGGATAACTTGTAGAATGTGAAGGCAGTCTTTGATGCGGCGATCAAGGTTGTACTCCAACCACCTAAGGCGAAGAAGAAGAAGAAGGCCCATAAGAGTTGCCTCATTTTGTGATTCCAAAACACCAAAAAAGCCAAGAAACGAAGATTCGCCAGCAGCTTATTCTTGATGTAAAGTCAAAAAGTGACTGCTACTCGCTCTTTCTGAGGCATCCCATGAATTTGTTTTCTGAACTCTTTATCTTTTGTTGGTTATCTTTGTAACTTCATTGCAATATGAACCCTTCTTATTCTTCAGCTAGATAGATGTCCAGGGTAATTCCCCTTTGGAAACTGTTTCCTTTACATAGGGCGCGTATTTCTGCATCTTCTATTTGACGCAGGCTTTGTTTAATAGGTTGGTGACCTCTAAATATCTAAAGATCTTAACATTATTAATGTATAGTGTTTGCTCTCAACTCTATAGTCAGAACGTTTCTCTTGTATGTTTTATTTTGGAAAAATGATGAGTGTAACGTAGTACGCTTTATATTGAA